TCACATTAAACAATAACTAGTTTTCAGGGGACGAGTTCTATTTGTCATACATAGTTCATCCTAAAGTCTCCTGGTTATTGGGGTGGCCATCTTTGTTTGCTAATTCCCTTTACCCAAAGGAAAAATAATAAATTTATTTCTTTATGACAAGAGGTAGTTTTGCAAGTTGGAGCTGAAGTTAGGCTCCTACCCTTCTCCCGAGACTAGAAGATGGGCAGCTATATTCCTTAATGATTACCTTTCAAAGGGATGGTTCCCAGGTCCTTGGAGAAAGACATACTTGGGTCCTAAAGTTGGCAAGAGGCTTATTTAGCTTTTAAAAAGATTTACATACATTTAAGAGACAGAGAAAGAACTGCTAATTATGGGTTTCCAAAAGTAAGTGCTCTAGGAAAAGGAAGTGAGATGGGCTGGAAGAGTCTCTTCTGTTTATTTTCAACAGGGAAAATTAAGTCCCTATTTTGGTGGCCGGGTATGGTGGCTCATGCCTGTAATCCCAGCACTCTGGGAGGCTAAGGACGGTGGATTATTTGAGGTCAGGTGTTCAAGACCAGCTTGGCCAATATGGTAAAACCCCATCTCTACTAAAAATACAAAAATTAGCTGGGGGTGGTGGTGCATGCCTATAGTCTCAGCTACTCTGGAGCCTGAGGCAAGAGAATCACTTGAACTCAGGAGGCAGAGGTTGCAGTGAGCCGAGATCACACCACTGCACTGCGCCTGGGTGACAGAGTGAGACTCCATCTCAAAAAAAAAAATAAATAAAAATAATAATTTTTTAAGCCTCTACTTTGTTTGTTTGTTTTAGAGACAGGGTCTTTCTCTGTGGCCCAGGCTAAAGTGCAGTGGTGCGATCTCGACTCACTGCAGCCTCAACCTGCTGGGCTCAAATGATCGTCCTACTTCAGCTTCCCAAGTAGCTGGGACTACAGGCACAGGCCACCATGCTCAGCTAATTTTTAAATTTTTTGTAGAGATGGAGCCTCACCATGTTGCCCAGGCTGGTCTCAAACTCCTGAGCCCAAGATATCCTCCTGCCTTGGCCACCCAAAGCACTGGGATGACAGGCGTGAGCTACCACACCGGTTGTGAACCTCTTATTTTTAGTGTGAATTTATCCTTACCAAATTTAGCTTTGACCTTCATGGGGAGGGGATCGAATGTTTGGTCCCAGCAGTGGGCGTCAACCCATGACATGAGAAAATCCAAAGGGTAGCGGTAGCCTTAAACTTGATTTGATCTTGCAACCTCAGGAGAGAACGAGGGTGGTACAAAGTGGAGCAAGCGCCTTTAGGAGCCTCCAGGGCTTGGGTAGTTTCCGAATTTGACTGGAGTGTTAGTAATGGAGGTGGTCCCTCCATGCAGAGAGCTCCTGAACCCCCACCTTCCTGCTCTTCCGGGCACCCTGTATCCCCCTCATCCCACGGCCAACACTTAGTGTCACCTTTGAGCTCTCTGTAGGGGAGGAAGGCTGTTGGGGATGCTGGTCTGGTGTGGCTCCTTCCTTCCCTCCCCTCGGCAGCACAGCTCACGGCTTCTGCTCTACTCCAAGTAGACTCTAACCCACTGGAAACTGCGGCCAGTTCTGCAGAAAGTTCAAATCTTTAGGGACTTCATAAATTAGCCTTTACTGCTAAGCTCTCTGGGAAAAAAAGAATTGGGGAGTAGGGGCAGGGGGAGAGGTTGCAAGCTCAGCACAATCAACAGCTTCCTCTTCCCAAACTCTGAGTGTCCATGTTGCAACCAGTCAGAGCAGCGCCATCAGGAAGGGGCCATAGGGGTGGCAGGGTCGATGCAGGGCATGCTGACTGGCCAAGGGGCACTGGGTGACCCTGGGCAGATCAGGGGTGCAGGTGGGAGGGTCAGTGCCAAAGTACAGGTGCTATGACAGCATTTGCTTTGTGTTGGCACATTCTAAGCAGCACCTTGAATTTTTCCTGTTTGAAAGCATGTGGGGTGTGTGCCCTTTTATGTTCATGTTAGGGAATTCAGAGCAGGCTCCTGCATTTCTGCTCATGTGTGTATCTCTGAGGATGTTTTGCTGTTGTCAGTTGTCGTCAGGCCTTCAACTCATTGGATGGAGCCCACCCACATGGTGGAGGATAATCTGCTTTACTCAAAGCCTGCAGGTTTAAATGTTAATCTCATCCAAAACATACCCACAGAAACACCCAGCATAGTGTTTGGCCGACTATCTGGCACTGTGGCCCAGCCAGTTTGATATAAAATTAACCATCACAGCAAGGGATGCAGGGAAGGGGAGGCAAATTGCTGAGTCCCAAACACTATTTCAGCTGTCCCAGCTCCCTTTATAATGAAACAGGACTCAAATGGAGCAATGGATGGATGGGAGGATGGAGATGGATGGGCAGATAAATGGATGGGAAGATAGATGAATGAGAGGATGGAAGGGAGGATGGATGGATGGGAGGATGGATGGATGGAAGAATGGATGATGAGTGGATGGATGGAAGGATGAATGATGAGAGGATGGATGGATGGAAGGATGGATGATGGGAGGATGGATGGATGAACATAGACAGATGGGTGGATGGAGAGGTGTCTAGTAGGTAGATAATAGGGATAGACAGACACTAGTAGTGGCAACTTTTCAGACACTATTTGATGGAAATTTTCAAAAACACAAAACTGGAGAATGACAGCACAAAGGCCAACTGACCCAGCTCTACATTTCCACATGAGGAAAATGACACCCAGAAAAGAGTGACTTCCTCAAGGTCACACATGGGTTAATGGCAGAGATTCTATTGCCTCCTGGCCTGGTTACTGAGATCGGCATAGGAATGAGGTATGCACACTCCAGATCAGGGGAGGCCAAACTGCAGGAGCAAACTACCTTTGGAATTTCAGAGGCCTCGCACCTCCCGGGCTTCTTGCATGCTCACACAGTGCACCAGCTCAGCTTGGAGGACGATCTCTATTCCACATCCTTCCCTGACACCTCAGCATGCGGCCCCTGAGGCAGGAGAAGGGTTGGCATGTTGGGCGCCAGCTCCTACGCTCATCAGCCCAGAAGCAGCATCAGTCACTTTTCTATCAGCCACATGGCCCCTAACTAATGGAAGCGGGTCAGAAAAGTGGGTGGGCACATGGATATTTGATGAGGAATAAAAGTTTCCGCAAAACAGAAGTTTTTTCATCTCTTTGTGGGACTCCATGTTTCCTTTTCTACATTTTCGAACCAAACAAGTTGCCCCAGGATATCTCCAAAACCCAAGAATCTCCTCTGAGCTCCTGGAGCCTCCAAGGAGCCTGACTTATCTTTGCACAGAATGTCCCCCACCTTTCACTATTGTAGAATTTGATGTGTTTTGTGTATGTGAAGGCTGAACCATTTACTGACATTTTTACCTAAAGCACAGCAGCATCGCCCCACTTGGTCTCTCTCTCACTGTTACTCACTCACCTTTAGGACGTTGGCTGTCAGTTTTCAGGCTTTTAAAACTTGTTCCTTCTAGAATGTGGTTTGTTAATAAGTCATAAGTTTGTTAATAATTGATCAAGCATTATGACAGTTACAAGAACCTTATAGGTTCACGTTGCTAGAACCCCACAAACTGCTTATTTCCTTTCAGTCTCCTTGCCTGTACTTGTCACAAACTGTCACCTGGAGACAGGCGGGTTTGAATTGCTTAGCTCCTCAATGGCATTAGTAATTAAAGCATTCTTTCCTAATGGCATTGGTGTTCTCTTTCTGTCTTGTTTTGAGATGGGGTCTTACTCTGTCACCCTGGCTTGAGTGCAGTGGTGTGATCAAGGCTCACGGTAGTCTCAGTGTCCTGGGCTCAAGCAGTCTTCCTGCCTCGGCCTCACAAGTAGCTGAGACTACAGGCATGTGCCACCATGCCTGGATAATTTTTATATCTTTATAGAGACTTGGTTCCACCACGTTGGCCAGGCTGGCCTCAAACTTCTGAGCTCAAGCAACCCACCTGCCTCAGCCTCCCAAAATGCTGGGATTACAGGCACGAGCTATCACATCTGGCTGGTGTTCTTTAAATAGAGCTTTTTGTTAAAATAACCAAAAACAAAGAATAACAACTATTAATTAAAAATAGGTTATACAGTTAGAGTTAGACCTAAAGAAATACAAACACCTAGGCATAAACCAGTATCCTTATTACTTGTGCTGTCATTCTTTGTTTGGTTTAATCCTTAGGCTTATGTAAAATTAATAGATTCCGAGTCTTACTTTTCTTAGGTGTGTATCGAATCTGGTCAGATTTGTCAAGAGTCCTGGTCTTCAACTTCTTGTGTCTTTTAAGACAGAGTCTCACTCTTGTCGCCCCGGCTGGAGTGCAATGGCGCGATCTCAGCTCACTGCAACCTCTGCCTCCCAGGTTCAAGTGATTCTCGTGCCTCAGCCTCCTGAATAGCTGGTATTATCCCTCTTGATCTTTTATAGCGTCTCACAGGAAGGCTTTAGTTTATTCTGGGCATTTTTGTCTCTGCCCTGCAGATAGTAAATAGGGGGTAAATACAGTAACATGTGATAGTGATGTGATGTTTCTAGAATGTTAGAAACTCGTGACTGCCTTTTTCTGAATCACCAGAGAAATTTCCTTACCTGAATTGCTTTGTGAGCTTCCGTTCTCTGCTGAGTGCATTCTCACAACTCTCCACAGAAGGGTCCCTTAGCCATCAGGTCCCTGATAAGGTTAGATTGTAAGCCGACCCTTTATTTTGCCTGACTCTGAAAATCCTGCTCTTTTATAGGTACAAACCAGGCCATTCCAGAACATGACTTTTTTTTTTTTAATGAGCAAATCCAAATTTATTTTAATGTCATGTCATTTTCAATGTGTTTAAAAACTTCATAAGTTAGTGGGAGCCCTAGTTTCCTGGGACAGCATGCCAGAGGTACTGAAATGTGTCACCTTTCTCTACAAACCCCCAGCAATCCAATCCAAGTCCATAGCTTCAGAAAGCCAGGAGTTGTATCTTCAGTCAGTCTACTCCTCTGGTTCTTCCTTTTTCTTTCAAGGGAGGGAGATCACAATATTTCAAACAGGGAACAAAACCAGTTGAGCTTCCAGCTCAGGTTTGTGTAAGATGGAGTGAGGGAAGACCCCACTGACTCCAGAGAAAAGGGTAAGGTTGAGATGAATTATTTCTTTACAGCTTTGTGAAAATGGAAGAACAAAGATTTACAAATGAGGATCCATTTCATAGATAAGAATCTCTTCATAAATGAAGGCTCCAAATCCTAAATTGGGAAGGGCCTGACTGGACGGCCTGAATCAAGATGAGGAATCGGCCACACTGAATAAAAACAATCTGAAAAATAATCCTCCTAATTTTGAAGCCAGATAAAATACTTGGGGAAAATGGGAAAAAGAGAGGAAAAAGCCCCAAACAGATGGAAAAACGCTGACATCAGAGTGGTATAAAAAAATTCAGCTGAGTTTTCAGTGGCGGTGGCTAATTTAGCCCTGTTCTGTGGTAGGGCTACAAACCTTGACCAAGCAGAAAGTAGTAGAAAAGGCTAGAAAGAGGGGCTTGAAGACGATGAATTTTGACTCCTGATTTTATTATTCAATTTCTTTTTTTCATTTAAAGTAGTCTTCCGTGGTTGGGAAGCCTTGCCTCCCAAGACCAGAGTCAGTTGGAGCTGGTTGTTGTTGGGAGTGGGCTGGGGAACTGGGGTGGGGAGACCCCCTGCTCTGCTGGCGGTCCTCAGTCCCCAGCTTCATTTTCTTCTAATGTTTCCCCACTGGTGGCATTCTCTGCAGTCTTGGAGGCCTTCTTTTTTTTCTTTTTCTGGGTTTTTCGACTTGCAGAACTCTGGAGGAGGGCCTTTAGCTCTGCATCCTGGACCTCCATCTCAGACTTATAGAGGTCAGGCTCAAAGGGACCGCTGGTTATCCGCATGGGGCCATTGGGCATGAGCAGAACTGTAAATTTAAACTGGGCAACAAATTCACCCTCCTTCTCATAGAGAACATTAAATGGTTGCAGCAGTTCATGTTTGGCGCACTCTACCACACCCATCCGAGCCTTCTTCTCATCTTCAGATGCTCTTAAAGTAAATGGCATGGCATCAAAACGCCTTTCCACCTCACTGAAGAAGGCACGTGAAGTTTTCATTTTCAGTCCATACTGTTTAGAGGGGTCTCGTTTGTAAATAGTGGTTCTCTGTCCTGCATCCTTGGCCTTGCCCTCTCCTGAGCTGACGAGAACATCCACAGCATATACTTCATGTACCTCAAATTCAGCTTTTTCATGGTCCTTCTTCTGCTGGTCTGTGGGATTCTGGATAATGGTTTTTTCTCCATCAATGACATGCTGCTTCAACTGGTGTGACAGCATACCTTCTATTGGCGTGCAGTTAAATGAGTGGGCAACTTTGTTCCAGGCTTCTGTCACTTGTGTGTTCTGGTTTCCAGGTTTGACCAAGCGTAGGGCAGCTTCGGCACAAAGGTGAGCTGCCTTAATAACATCTGCTTTCCTCCCGGTTACTTGGGTCCCCTGAGCTACATCAACTACAAAAGTATGAGCTACATTAGCGATGAAGCCATCCACATGGACCCCAAGGTCAATTTTTACCAAGTCACCTTCCTTGAGAATATAATCCTGGTCGCTCTTCAAAGGGGAGAAGTGACATACACAATTATTTACCGAAATGCTGGTGGGAAAAGCAATACCTTTCTTTATTTCCTTTTCTTTCTTAAAGATTTTCCCTGTTTCTTCCATAATCATGGCATCACCTTTCTCACACAGGCTCAGTACCGACACACCTGAGCTAGATGCTTCCACCAAGGACCGAAGTACCCTTGGTCACGACCAGGTCCTCGGTGATAGTTTGCTCCTGCTGCTCGTCCTCGCCCGACATCTTCCTACCACCACCACTGCAGCCTGGTTTCCCCTGAGCCGCTGCCTCTGTCCCCCTTCCCAGCCGCAGGCTGTGGTCAGAGTCCCCTAGGTCCTCGAGGAGAGGGCGAGCGAAAGCGCGAGCAAGCAAAGGAGCGGGCAGGCTGGCGAGAGCGAGAAGCTGCCCAGAACATGACTTTTTTTGCCTTTTTTTTTTTTGACAGCATCTTGCTCTGTTGCCCTGGCTGGAGTGCAGTGACACAATCTCGGCTCATTGCAACCCCTACCCACTGAGTTCAAGTGATTCTCGTGCCTCAGCCTCCTGAGTAACTGGGATTACAGGTGCATGCTACCATGCCTGACTAATTTTTTTTTTGTATTTTTAGTAAAGAAAGAGTTTCACCATGTTGGCCACGCTGGTCTAGAACTCCTGACCCCAGGTGATCTCCTTGCCTCGGCCTCCCAAAGTGCTGGGATTACAGGCATGAGCCACCATACATGGCCCAGTACATGACTTTTAGAGTACTTTTAATCAGAAGTTGACACAGAGACACAAAGTGATTTCTACCAGAGCCCCCATGTGCTCAGCAGGATCCCGGGGGACAGGAAAATAGCAAAGTGCTAAAGGAGCTTTCAGTCATTGCAGGTGGAGATTCCTGGAGAGCTGGGTCCATAGCTCCATGACCCAAATGTCACAGAGCTGACTCCATGAGGCGAACTCCCAGCAGCATGGGGTTCATCATTCATGGGCCCGGACCACCTGTGAGCCACACCCTGTTTCCTGAGGTTTAAGCACATGCTGCAAGTCTGAAGCCTCCTGCCAGAAGCCAGGCCTGGTGTCCATTCCCACTTTCTCATCAGGTCACCAAATGCTCTTGCTCATGGTGCAGGAAGAGAGATGGATCTCAGTAGAGCCACAGAGCCAAGTCCTCCATCAGCCCATGTGGCAAGGAGGATCGGAGAGTCAGGAAGGACCATGCTGCTGGGCTGGGCTGTGTTCTGGGGGGAGTCATTCTCCGGGGGACTCAAGCTGTTAAATCCTGGGTAATTGGGAAGGGCTTGGAGAAGCCTTTGGCATGAATGGAGCTCTCCTCCTTAGTAAGGCTGAACCTAGTTGGTTAATAAAAGTATCCAATGCTGTTCCTACCAACAGTGTCCAAATTATGCTTCAATGCTATGGCCACAGCTGCCCTGGGGGTGGCATGAAAACTGCTTTAGGAACTGCACATGTAGAAATTGTTAACATGTATTGATTGCCTGCTGAAAGCCAGGCTCTCTGTGACACCTTTACTTGATTATCTTATTTTTTAAGACACACAATATTCTCTGTGAAGAGCTTGTTCTGTGAAGGAACAACTAAAGGGAGAAAAATTCAACAGGGGGAAGGTCTTGGTGCCGGGAGGAACTGTCCTAGTGAGTGACCTGCTCCCCACAGTGCAGGTCACTTGGAGAGAAAAGACCCTGCCCTCTCAGGCACCCTCTCCATCTCCCCATGCCTCCTCCACCCACCCAGTGCCAGGGCAAACTGAGCCATCTCTAACCCAGGCTGTGCCCAGGCCAGCTTAGCTTCAGAAGACAGTGCTCACAGAGCACTGTGCTACGTGCTTATCCTTCCATGATGTTTTGTCGTCACTGTCATCCTATGATGGAGGAGAATGTTTTCGCCCCTCCTCTACCCTGAGGCATGAGGGGGACGAAGGCTTGCTCACGATTCTGTAGCTAAACCCTGGCAGAGCCAAGTTCTACTCACGTTCAATCTGACTGTCACCCCCTAAGGTAAACTGCCAAGTTCTGACTGAGTTGCCGTGGCTCTGCCCCTTGGCTTCACAGTTGAGTGACTGGGCACATTGAGAATCTCAGGCAGGGTTAGGAGGGCCTGAAGAATTGTGGAGGAGGGTCAATTACCCTGTAAAACTGATCAATCAACAGACAAGAACAGCAGTAGGCAATCTGGATTGCAGATGGCATTAGCCAGCTAGGACGGTCATAACAAAATACCGTAGATGGGTGGCTTAAACAACAGAGATTTACATCTTCACAGTTCTGAGGCTGAGAGTCCAAGATCAAGGTGCCCACAGACTTAGTTTCTGGTGAGGCCTCTCTCTTTAGCTTACAGAAATAACCTTCTCCCTGTGTCCTCACGTGGCCTTTTCTCTATGCATGCTCATCCCCAGTGTGTCTCTGTGTGTCCAAATTTCCTCTTTTATAAGGACATTGGCCAGACTGGGTTAGTTCCCCACCTCATTTAACCTTAATCACCTCCTTAAAGATCCTATCTCCAAACACAGTTCACACTGGAGATTAGGAATTCAATACATGAATTTTAGGGGACAGGCTTCAGCCCATAACAGATTATTCAAAGCTCTCTTTGTCCCTCCTACAGCAGCCCCCACAGCGGTGGGCACAATCAGCTGCAATCTGGGTGTCAGCCCCTCTGCAAGGATTGGGGACCAGATGCTCCCTCCCTGGAAGCCACATCAATGAGAGACCACTGCTGTACTGAGAATTCAATAAAGGCTTTTTACAGAACATTACTACAACTCTTTTTACAGACTCCTACAGCGCTATACAACCCAACATTTACACGTAATTTTCACTTCAGCAAGATCTTTTAAATTTAAAATCTCTGCACAGTCACTGAAGCCACAACTCCCTATCTAATCAAAGTTTCTATCGATGTTAAAAGTTGGTTGGTTTTTGTTTTGTTTTTGTTTTAGTCCTCAAAGCTGTCTGTGATTCTAGAGAGCTGTGTTCTTCCTATATACAAAACTGATTCCCCTGATCCCATCTCTAGAAGAGTTTTTGCAGTGAAAGACTGGTTTTGCAAGAAGATACACATACCTTGGTAAACAAGCTCTTATGGAGGAGGAGGAGGAGGAGGAGGAGGAGGAGGAGGAGGGGAGAAGGAAGAGAAACCCCGATTTGTACGGGTTTACCAATTTCCGTGGTATGAATACTTGCACCATAATACATTTCAAGCTACTAATGATTTTAAAAATTGGCTTAGAAATTTCCAGAATATGTTACACCTGGATTTCACAAGCTGCCATGAGTCTACCAGCACATTACTGCCTGTGTCTCTCATGATCGCAGAAGCCCATTTTATAGATTTTAATCTGGGTCAGGGGTAAAATCTGTGGTCTTGATCAAAATGAGGTCAACTAGCCCCACCAGGACTCAGTCTCAGCATCTTACTTCCATTCTCACCATGCTTTAAACCCTGAGCACAGGTCACAAATCCACATTCATCTAATACATGTTTTGGGTAAACCTCCCCATTTTAGAAGAACCACCCATTTGCTGGAAATTAGAGTCACCCGACTGGCCATGGGCATTTTCGTGGGATCTTGATCTGCGTGGAAAGTAAAGTCAGTCAAGTGCAAATCAGGGTTGGATTGATGGCAGGTGTAACAGCTGCACAAGCATGTGGTGCTTTGTCTGGAACTGAACATCTCTATTTTTCATTCACCAAAGGCTGTGGTGGCTTCAAGAGGTGCTTCCAGCCTGACCTCCTGCTGATGACATCCAAGTTCTCATTGGATCTTGAGCTACTGTCTCTACTCCATGTGTGTGAAAATGTGCAGGGAACTTTCATCCCAGAGGCAGAGTTGAGGCGTTCCAAGGGGGCAGGCCATCGAATGTTCAGAATCCCAAGTTCATGGTCAGGATGTGGTATTTCAGAGGCAAATGATGATCTGGGAGCAGACCTTGGAGAAAACTGGGCTTGGAGGTAACAACGCTACCAAATTAAATGTAAGTGGGAACTGCAGCAGGCATCTGACCTGGAACTGGAGGTTTCCGGAGCAGCTGGCGTGGTGAGGGAAGGACACACAGAATTGGAATTCCCCCATCCCCTTCTCCGACTGCTCCTGCTCCTACATCAAGCAAGGCTTGCTGGGAAGCAGGAGGAGGCAAATGCCCCTCATTCTCCTCCTGCCTCGAGGATATTCTCTTTCTCTCCCTTCCTCTGCAGTTCACTCTCCAGCTCATTCCCAGGTCCCGGGTGAGCTAGCTGAAGTGGTCATGATAATACTAATAAGCTGATTTGAAAGAAGAGTTTAGTTCATTGCGCCTTTGGGAAAGACCTCTGCTGGTGCTTGGCTAGGATAACAAGCTTCAGTGAAACTAACAGGGACACTAACTCACTCCACTGCCATATTCTTATTTTATATGCTGATGGTGCCAATAGTCACTACCATAAGTAGAATCTGCTTTTCCTCTGGCAGTGGAAAGGCTAAATTGTACATGGTATTTTCAGGGCCTTGTCTCCCTTCTAGGGCTTCTCTGAGTTCAGGGGAAGGCATTTGAAACTTCCGTAATGACTATCCTTTCTCTTACTCCCATGCTCTCTCTTTACTCATACCATTATTTTGAGGAATACGTGAAATTAAAATTGTTATAACTGAGCATCTACTATGTGCCAAATCCTCTGCTAGATATTTTTAAATATTATTTCCAAACCTAATAAAAACATCATGCCATTTTATAGATGAAGAAACAGACTCAGAGAAGCTAACAGATTTGCTCATAGCCAGTGACTGTTTAGATTTTAGCTCATGTCTTTTAAACTCCATTTTTAAAATTGTTATTTTATTTTTTTTAAGAAGTAAAACAGAATCGAGTCTCACTACGTTGTTCACGCTGGTCTCAAACTCCTAGGCTCAAACCATCCTCCCACCCTGGCCTCCTAAAGTGATGGGATTACAGGCATGAGACACCATGTCTGGCATTGTAAACTCTAAAGCTTACATTTTTCTACTACGCTACCATATTATATAAAACATTGCATCAGTCAGCACAAAATTAGGTTGTGCTGCAGTTATAGGCACCTCAAAACCTTGGTGGCTTACAACAACAGTTTTACTCCATCCTCACGTGTAATGCATGATGCACACGCCTCACGGCTCACCTGGGAGCTCGGTTCCCTAGTATGTCGGGACTCAGGCTGATGGCGGTGGAGCCATCAGACTGTTGCCAGTTCCCATGCTAGAGGGAGAGGGAGCTCTGGAGGATCTAAAACTATCAGCAAAATGCCCT